GGGGGGGTCGGTTTATTGCTCTGTTGGTAGCCTTGTCTTTGTGGTTGGAATGTACTCCTTCATGATCGGCGCGGGGCACCCTTATCTTTGTCTCCGTCCCTTGTCTGAGCAGACTCCCTCCCTCTCCACTCCCTTTCAGGCGGATGCAACTACGCGACTTGCTTTGTCTGTGGCAAGCGGGGCCACCTTTCTTCCCAGTGCGAGAGGAACGAAAAGGGCCTGTATCCCAAAGGGGGAGGGTGCCATCGGTGCGGGGAGAAGGACCATTTTGCCGCCCGGTGCCCCACCAGGGAAGGAGGAAAGGAAACGGGGACGGAGGAGGATGGTGAGAGGGAAAGGCAGGGGGGGCAGGAAGGGGCAGACGAAGCTGCAGTCAAAGAGAAGGAGTACGGTGGCACCGATCCTTCAATTTTTAAGGCACGATATGTGAAAGAGAAGCGGCCCTGGCAGGAGTCGATGACACAAGAGATCGTCTTTGATGAACAGAGCTCACAAGGGGCCAAGGGCGTCTATGCAACGAACACAAATGCTGCCGCTAGGACATTAGGGGGGGACGACCTTCATGAGCACGATTTCCTCTTGGAATCGCTCGACGATGAAGATGAGGAAGGACTCGACTCTCTGCGGGGCGAAGCTGTTCGCAAGGCCGGAATGAGCGGAGGGAGGGGGAGAGGACGTGGCCGAGGAAGGGGGGCTCGTGATTCCGGTAGGTATGGGCGTATGCGCAATAGTCACGCTCCTTTGCAAGGCCCCACGAGTTCTAGGTCACCCGTGGAAGATAGGAAGAAAGCGAACAAGACCAAACCGAAGACGGTTGTTTTCTAATGCTCTGTGGCCTCGGAAAATTTCCCTGCATACTAAGCTCGTTTGCATGCACACCCAAACGATGAATAAAATTGTTTCACTGAATCAATCAGAGTTATCTGCTGAGGTCTTTTAAGTGCTTTCATTTACCTTTTTACATCCAGAACAATTGCCGGCCGCGGCGTGATGCGTCTCACTCTGCTTGACACCCCACAATATTGCACTTTTATTTTTAATGGCATTATCGCGTTTACGGCATACGTCTCAAAGCGCAAATACTAGCACATGATTAGCATTCTTGTCAGACAAACCGCGAAATCGTCCGTCCACCAGGATAAGACGCGAGCAAACGCTTCCCGGTGCACTTGAACCCCCAGGGTGGGTGGGACAGAAGATCGGATCGGTGACGTATGCGTATTCTGCTGGCAAAGTTTCGCGCCTTGGGAAGGTGAGGTGCCCTCCCCGGGCCCTGGCGCGGCAAAATGGGACGCGCGGGGCACCGACCAGGCCTGTGAAAGTTGGCGTCGGTCTTCCGTCATGCATTGCATTCGAATGATGACGGTATATCGTGGCGTGGGGGGCCACAGGGTTGCTTGATAGGAAAAACAGCTGGTGAAAGTCACGTTCAAGGTTGCCGCCGCCAGCACGCCCGCTCGCTTCGAGTTAGCAGTTGTGATCTTTGCGCTTCCGAAATAATTCTGTTCGATCTGGGCATGTCCCGGCGTGAAATGTTTGCTGAGCCCTGGAATGTGCATGTGAAGGGTATTATAGCTCGGAAGGATGGTTATACTTGTCCCTTAACGTATTTTTTATCTTTTATGCCAAGACCAAGCAGACATCACGCCCAGAGCGGTCACCTGCGGTTGGAGTGAAACGCGCTGTGGTGCTAGCGCGGACCGTCCGTGCTATACGACCGCATTCCGACCTTAAATTACCACACATAGGTAGTTAATCACATCCTCAACATCTTCTCTATGATTTTGGCATCACCTGCTCCGGCCGCGACCCCAGCGGCAGAAAAAGCAGCGGGCGCAGCACTCACGAGGGACAGCTCAACGACGGTACCTAAAGCGCCTGTAGCGGGGTCATCTGATGCTCAAAACGCTCCCATTCCAGCCGCTGCGACACCTTGGGAAGTGAAATCGGTTCAAGAATGGTACGTAAATACTCAAGTAGGAGAGGACAGGAGAACTGGCTGTGGATACCCACGTCACTCGGGGTTGTGAAGGAGAACGCGTGTCACATCGGAGGGAGGAGATTCCCTCTGTGCTGGAAAGGGTGTTTCCCACCCCTTGTGGGGCCTCACGAGAGGGCACGTCGTTCGCCACTCTTGAGTGGCAATTTAGGATCGGAAGAAGGGCCTTGAAAATAAATTGCCATCAACTTTGCTCGGAAAGCACTTTCCTTCGTACGCTCAGCCCCGACATGCACCGACTTTCTTTCCTTCTCCCAGGGGAGGCTTAAGTGATACATCCAGCAATTCCACGTCAGCAGGGAGCTCCGTAGCAGGCAGCGTGGGAAGTGTGGGGAACAGCCCACGCCCGCACCCACCCGTCGACGAGGAGGACCTGGCGTGCGCGTCTGATCTCGAGATGGCTGCGGCCGTTGTCCTCTCTCCCCCAACCCCCGGACAGCCCTCTCTTGCACCTTCTGCGGCTCCCCCTGGCCCTGTCTCTGCCCCCGCCGCGTGTACCGTCAAACGTGAGGCGTCGGAGGAGATGGAAACCGAGGATGCGGAGGCGGCGAGCATCCTGTCCAAGGTGCTGCCGGACATGCACAAACTGACCACCACCTTTGCGGACGCGCGCGGGAGCATCCCCAAGAAAGCGTCAGTGCAGGGACACGGCGGAGGCAGCGACCGTGCGGCCTCCATTGGAACCTCCCGCGAGGCCATCGGCGATGCAGGCAGGGGTTCGTCCCCCGGGAGCCGCAGGGGGGGCGCCAAGGGCTACGAGGACCTGTTGGATTGCCTGGCCTCCTTGGCGTCCAATCGCCCCCCTGTGGTGCCTGCGCACTGCCGGGCGTCTCGCATGTCGGTAGACGACATGGATTTGGAGCAGCATTGCCGTCGGCCAAACAAGGGCAGCCGGGGCCCGAGCCCTTTCTCCCCCTCTTTGCTGGCGGCGGCGAGGGGGATGGAGGACTCGGACGAGGAGGAGGAGGAGGACGGGGAGGAAGCAGGGCGGTATTACTATGCAACGGGCGGGGCAGGCCTGGGCGGGGGGGGGCTGGACGGCATGGAAGTGGGCCGGGGCCGGCGTCCCCGCGCCGCTTCGAACCCCGAGGGTTGTGACACTTGGCGCCGGTACGGGACCTCGGGAGTCCCCGTGGCGATGGACAGGAAAGGCCTCGCCAAGGGTCAGCCCACGCATGCATCAGGAGCCGCGGTCCACGACAAGGCGGGCCCTGCCGCGGGCGGTAGCATGATTACCTTCCACGGCGGCCTCGCGAGCACTGCGGATAGCTTAGCGTCAGAGGGCCATGCGGCTGCTTCGACCCTGCAGGCCGGTGCTAGAGCGGCCGCCGCGGCGTCCGCTGCTGCCAGTGCTGCCGCTGCAGAAGCTGGGGCGGGGTCGGGTGCCGGGAGTATTCTGCCGCACATGTTGGCCAAGTACTCGGACGTTTACAACAAGCACGGACGGATCGGGATCTACACACGGGTACGTGGAGGGGCGGAGCGACGCGACCATGTGGGAACGGGGGGGAGGGAGTCGTTTTTTGTAGGGCGGTCCGACCTCGGGTGGGGCGTCGGTCTCCCGGGCCTTGTGGTCTTCTTCTCACCCCGGCTTCCCTTTCAACTGGTTTAGGACGAGCGGGATGCCATCATTGCTCGTTTTCGTGAAAAGCGCCAACGGCGCGTGTGGAAGAAGAAGATCCGCTACTCGTGCCGCAAGAACTTGGCGGACAAGCGGGTGCGTGTGAAGGGACGCTTTGTCAAGCTGCCGCCCAAGGAGGCCGGGGAGGAGGAGGGGGGGGGGGCATGTCCTGGTCGCCCTCGGGCCAGGCGCTGGCCGT